AGCCCAGGAAGCCAGCCCTGAGTCCAGCCCCGGTCCCAGCCCTCCACCCACCAAGAAGTCGCCTTGCTTTTGAGTGAACCACCTTGTCCCCTCCCTCCTGCTTTTACTCTGAACCTTGCGGGACTGTGTTAAGCATGGTATTGGCCCAAGACTGACCAGAAATCAAAAGCCTCCTTCTAACCCGCCTCTCTCCTAAGTGTCACTTGTCCTCGAGCCTAGCCACACCTACACAGCCTTTCCTGACCACTCTGCCTCCTTTGGTCTGTGGTACCCTGCCTTTGCCTTTGCTGTGCTCCTGCATGCCAAGCATTCCTTGAAGGCCTAGTATAGGCAAGGCGCCCAGTGTGAACAAGGTGAAGCAGGCCTCCTCCTCAAGGCCAGGGCTGGTGGGTGGCTAGAGCCAAACCACTGTGTCCCACCCAGAACGCCCCAGGTGCAGGTGACACAGTGGACGATGGAGTCCATACTACTGTGGACACCAGGAGTGGAATGGGAGGACACCAGGCTGGCCACAGGAAGGAGCGGCCTGAACCAAGTCCTGGGGGGCACAATGTGCAGCAGAGAAGGCTCTGGGTGGAGGGAGAGCGCCTTGAATGGCCTGATGGGACAGGAGCAGGTCCCTCTGAGGAGTGCAGGGAGGCACAGCCTGTGAGTCCAGATGCTCCGGAGACTGAGGCAGGAGGATCGCATGTTTGAGGCCAGCCTGGGAAACTTAGAGAGACCTGTGTCAAGAAAACATTTTTGTCTTTGCAATGCTAATATAAGGGAGATCTTGGCTGATGTGAAATAATATTACCCATTTTAAAGCTCATGAGCTAAAGTGATTCTGTATTTCATAACAGTTCTCCAGAGCATCTTGAATATTTGCAATGATTTAAAAAACTTATGAGCTTTTTTATTCATGATAATAAAACTGTATATGAATAGTAAAAAKAATCCCTGGGGAAAGCCATTGGTACAGTGGAAAGTACTGGATGATACTGATTCTGGCAAAAACACAAAAATATATTATTCCATCTCCATGTAGTAAAAAATATACTTGTACAATATTTTGTACTTGCATTTCATATTATTAAAACAGTGAGTGAGGTCCTGGGTTCAATCCCCATTACTGGAAATAAATAGATAAAAGCTTAGAAGAAGAGCAATGGAGCAGTGCTGAATCTGGGGGAGGAGAAGAGAAGAGCAGAGCGGTGGGGCCCGCACCCAGGGCCTCCCAGGCCGCACCCAGGCTCACCAGATGCGCTCCTGCAGACCCAGAGCTCCGGGGACCGACCCAGGGGCAAGTGTGAGGTTTTCGTGAGAAGGGACCACAGCAGAAGCCACGTCGGCCAGTTGGGAGACCACTGCCAAGACCCAGGGGAGACGCAGGTCCTGGGTGGAGGAAACCAGAAGTGAGTTTGAATCCATAGCATCAGGGACTGGTGAAGAGCAAGGCCCTGGCGCCTTTAGGGCTTCAAGTGACTGCTCCTGCTGTAAACAGGGTGACTTCAGTGTCTCCATGGCCCCCAATCAGCAGGAGGAGACAGGGCGCTTCACCACTAGCTCCGGTCGCCTCTGCAGCCCCTCCCGGGAGTCGTGATGCTTTTTCAGGGCTCCTCTGCCCAGCTGTGCATCTGGATGTGTTTCAATCCAGGTGAACTAAAATTGTTTTATTTCCACATTTTAAAAGCAAATACCTCGAAAATAACAAAAGGTGTGCTACTGGTTATTAGCTACTTTCTCTCTCTGCGTGTTTTAAGAAACAAGGGGCTCTGTGGCAGAGTGCGGTCATTCCCATTTCTTCTCGCCACCCCTTTGGGTACCACAGGGAGCACTGCAGGAGCTCACCTGGCCGGGATGGCAGGCCCCAGCAAGCCCTCTGCACACCTGGCCCACTCAAAGCAAGCATCTCCAACCCGTGCAAGCACCTGCTCTCTGTCTGCTGTGAGCGGATGTCGCTGTGGTTACATCTGGAATCCACCCCCCTCTGTGAAAAATATCATTGGGGTCAGAAGCCTCCTTGGTGGGGTTGAGCACTGCCTTGGCACCCCCCAGCCCACGGTGCTCTGCACTAAGGGGCTGCCACCCCCACGGCTGCCACTCCTCCGCTCAGGGCTGGAGGGCCCCAAGCCAGCTACAGATGACTTCCGGGACACCAAAATTCAATGACTGTTTGGAGCTGTGCACCCAAAAATCCAACCAGCACCCGGTAGGGAGGTGGTTCCCAAGATCCAAACATCTGGAGGTTGACTGGAGTCTCCCCTAGTTGGGAAAGGCTCTCCCTATCCAAGCACCCTTTTTCCACCTTTATGACTGCATCCTGTAGCCACGAGGGCCAAATGACACTCCTGCAATGACAGCATCGACCAGGCACAGGGGGACCTTCCAGCTAAAGCAAAGCTTGCCCTGTTAATTGGGGCCTGTCTTCTCATCCATGTGCACCACAGGGACAGCACTGTGTCTGCACAGCCAGGGAGACACACACACACACACACACACACACCTGCACAAGTCCTTGCAAAGGTTTTGCTTCTCTTTGAAAATGCTGCATCTCCTGGTGTAAGTCCTTGATGATGGGTATACTACATCTACCCCAGCCTTGCCAGAATAGTGACTTCAAACCACTTAACTTCCCATTAAAAGGAGAACCAAACCTGGGCACCGTGGCACACGCTGTAATCCCAGTGGCTCAGAAGCCTGAGGCAGGAGGATCAAAAGTTCAAAGCCAGCCTCAGCAAAAGTGAGGCTCTAAGCACCTCAGTGAGACCCTGTCTCTAAATAAAATACAAAATAGGGCTGGGGATGTGGCTCAGCGGTCGAGGGCCTCTGAGTTCAATCAGGTACCCCACCCTACCCCCCCTCTAAAAAAGGAGAACCAAATTAGGAACACCTACATAAAATGCACCCACTTAAAAGAAAGGGCTGGCCAGGTGCAGTGGTGCAGGTCTGTCAACCCATCAACTTGAGAGGCTGAAGCAGGAGGATCAGAAGTTCAAGTTCAGCTTGGATAATTTAGCAAGACCCTGTCTTAAAATTAAAAAAAGAAAGGATGGAGGATGTAACTCAGTGGTGGAGCACGCCTGGGTTCAATCCCCATTACCAAAAAATAAGAAATCAAGAATGGGGTAGACCCATACTGCTGGCACAAAAAGCTTTCCTTCTAGTGTAATAAGAAAAGGAAGTTGCTGGGCTGGGCCTGTAGCTCAGTAGTAGAGCATTGCCTTGCTGTGGAAGGCACTGGATTGAATCCTCAGCACATCATGAAAATAAATAAAGGTACTTTGTCCATCTACAAAACACACACACACACACACACACACACACACACACACATATATATATATATATATAAAAGAAAAGTAAGTTGCAAATTTAACATGCAATATAAACATCTGTCTGTGCACAGATAACATCTAAAGGATACACTCAAATGTAACAGTGGTTTTCTCTGGAGACTTTGTAGTCATTTTTGTGTTGTCTGAAGTTTTTTTTTATATATTTATTTTTTAGTTATAGTTGGACACAATACCTTTATTTCACTTATTTATTTTTTTTATGTGGTGGTGAGGATTCAACCCAGGGTCTTGCATGTGCAAGGTGAGTGCTCTACTGCTGAGCCACAAAGTTTCTTAAGAATATATTACTCTTGTAACTTAAAACACACTTTAAAAGCATTTCTAAATAGAACATGCTCCATGTTAGAGTAAGCACTTTGGATACTTTGAGGAGGGGAGACACTGAAATCAAAGTAATTAAAAAAATTTTTTTTAAAGCCCAGCCAGGGGCTGGGGCTGTAGATAAGTGGTACAGCACTTGGGTAGCATGTGGCCCTGGTTTCCATCCCAGCACTGCAAAAAATAAATAAGTAATAACAATAACTTAAAAAATTAAAAGCCTGCTTCAATCTGGCCCCAGCAGGGGAGCAAACAGCTCAGGGCAGCTGTGACATGACAATGGGGAACAGAGGGCACATCCAGATACTAGGCACAGGTCCTCGCTTGCAGAACTCAGGCAAGGCAGGCCAGTGGAATGGCCTGCCAGTGGTTGGCCTCTGGAATCCAACAGCAGCTGGAGGGGCAGCACAGTGGGGGGCTCCCTGAGAAGACCCCCAAGCCCTGAAGAAACTGGGAGAGAAGAGCAGGCCAGGGAGGAGGAGGGAAGAATGCCTCCTCCCCACATTCTCCCAGGCCACACAATGTCCCTGCCAGCACCCAGAGTGAAGTCCCATCAGACAGCCTGGGAGCTGGTCCCAGGGCCAAGAGAAGAGCTTCCCAGGCAGAAGCAGCAGACAGGGCCATGCCCAGAGGAGCAGAGCCTAGGGGACCCTGATCCTGTGAGGCTGCAGAGCAGGAGCATGGGAAGGCAGGCCAGGTGGGGAGGGCAGGGCTGGGAGGAGCCAGCACCCAGCAGTGCAGGTCATAGGAAGCCACCAGAGTGACAGTGTCAGATCCCACTTAGGGAATGACCTTCATAGCAGGGGGGCTAGAGGACCCCTCCACACACAGGGTCTGGAGTGGAGACTACTGCCTGGTAAGTCCTCCTCGCTGAAGAAACAGTCCAGAGGCCTGGTCACCAAAGGACACCAGTGCCCCTAATGCTTCCCTGCTAGGTGCCTCAAGGCAGTTCCCCCAGAATGTCCCCTGCCCCATTTCTCACGAGGCAGGCATTCCCCTTCTCAGCCCCAAGGAGACACAAGCCTCGAATGAGGGTGCAGTGGACACTCCTCCCCAGACCGCTCCGCCTGTTTGCTGAAAGTTTTAATTTCCCCTTATCGTCTGTCACTCGCACAAGAGGCTGTTCCAAGGGCCGTTTTCAAACTTTGTCCTCACCCTTAAACCCAGTTTTCAGCTGTCCTATGATGCTCCCCGAGGCTATTTTTCTGGCCCTATCACAGCTCCCAGCCCCCTCGCCAGGCGGGAAGGTGACAACCGCGAAAAGGAGGCCGATCTCCTCTGTGGGGGCTTCGGGTGACATCACATCCTCCAGTGCGAAGTCAGGCTCTGAGGCCGGTCGAAGGGCAAACTTCCCCGTCCTCGCCCCGCGGTTCCTGAGCGCCGCAGCCCACCGCGCAGGGATAGGGCCATGGCCTCACAGGAGACCTCGTGGCTGCTGCCGCTGGCGCTGCTGCTCGGTGAGCGCGGGCCCAGGGCGGGCAGCGGTGCGAGTCCGACAGGGCCGGGGCCTTGGGGCCGGGAGGCCGGCAGGGTGCGGCAGGGTGAGGGCAGGGGCGCGGGCCACTTGCTCAGCCCCGCTGCTGCCCCCCGCTGCTTCCACTGCAGGCGCCGCCGTCGCCCTTGGGTCCATCCAGTTCCGAATGCAGCCGCCGAGGGTGGACGCGGAAATCGGCCGGCGGCTGGACCTGCGCTGCGAGGTGATGACGGCCAGCGGGGCCCAGAGCTGCTCGTGGCTCTACCAGCCGCCGGGCGTGGCTGCCAGGCCCACCTTCCTCATGTACATCTCCACCCACCGGACCAAGCTGGCCGAGAAACTGGACCCTCAACAGTTCACGGGCAAGAAATCCAGAGACAGCTACACCCTCACCCTGAACAGCTTCCGCGAGGAGAACCAAGGATACTACTTCTGCACCGTGGTGGTCAATTCGGAGATATCCTTCAGTCCCTTGGTGCCCGTCTTCCTGCCAGGTCCGGGCATGGGGCGCGGCGCCTCTCGGCATGGGGCTTGGGGTCACCTCTGAGCACTCCTGGGGGCTACTTTGATGCGGTTCCCATTACACAGGCGGGGAAACTGAGGCTAAGGTGTGCTAGGTGGGGACCAGAGGTGACTTTTTTTTTTTTTTAATGTACGGAGGATCCAACTCAGGGCACTCAACCACTGAGCCACACCCCAGCCCTATTTTGCATTTTATGTAGAGACAGGGTCTCACTGAGTTGCTTAGGACCTCACTGTTGCTGAGGCTGGCTTTGAACTGACGATCCTCCTGTCTCAGCCTCCCAGGGGCGGGGATCATAGGCGTGGGCCGCTGCGACGGCTGGAGGCGGCTTTGGTGCCACCGACCATCAATTGTGTGGCCCTGGGCAAGTGTCTTAAACCCCTGCACCTGTGCTTGCTGGCAGCAGAACCCGGTTGTTAGCTGAACTCACAGGTTACTAGAGAGCCTGGCGGTGCTGCTGGAGCGCACGCTCCCGCATCGCGGTCTTGGTCCCGCTCACAGAGCCGCCAACGTCAGGCCACCGCATTGGCCGTCACTGGTCAGCGCGCGTCCAGGGGATCCTCCTCCCTTGCCCCAGGGGAAACCGAGAGGAGGGGAGAAGGGAAACCGCCGGCGCGGTGCATCCACAGCCCAGTCGGCCCCAACCACCCCGTTGCTCCTCCCGCAGCGGAGCCCTCCCCGACGCCCGCGCCGCGACTACCCACCCTGGTGCCCTCCACCACGCCTCTGTCCAGGTCCACGAGCCCCGAGACTTGCCGGCCCGCGACGGGTGGTGCAGGTGAGGTCAGCGGGTGCTGGGGCCTGGGTGGGCCAGAGGTGTAAAGGACAGCAGAAGGAGGCCTGGCCTGGGACGACCCTGATCCCCTGGGCGGTCCAAATGTGGGGAAACCGCATCCTGGAGGGGAGAAGAGTTCAGGGGGGCGGGCGGGGGAGGAAGGATGGGAGGCCCGGGCCTCTTCCTAAACGTGGGCGTCTCGGGTGTTGTCAGCGGACACCAGGTGGCTGGACTTCGCCTGTGACATCTACATCTGGGCGCCCTTGGCTGGGACCTGCGCGGTCCTTCTGTTGTCACTGGTCATCACCGTCATCTGTCACCACCGTAAGTCCCCGGAATCACCACGCCGGGTTCGGCCCCACTCCCACCGGGGTGGGGTTCGAATTTCTGGAACTCCCAGTGGCTGCCAGGACCGGGCAGGGACATTCCTTCCCTGAGGTAGGACGCAGGGAGGTGTCCCCGCCCCTTCCCGCCCTCCAGGAGGTTGTTGGGAAGCATTCCCCGCCCAGTTGACCCCGGCCGGCACTGAATGCAAACTGCAGGCGGCAGGGGACCCCCACGCTCCAGCCCTGTGCCCTGGAGGGCTGGGAGAGAAACCTGGAACCCTTGGCGCCTCCCTACCACCCCATCCCCTAGGGTCCCAAGCAGCGTCACTCGCTCAGGTCTGAAGAGGCTTCAGTGTGCTGAGCGCTCAGGAGAGTAGAAAGACAGGCTCCTGAGCCACCAACCTCAAATAGCAAGGAGGGCGTCTGGATCCGCTGGACACTCACTTTCCCTTATTTTTCCTTATCTAGGGAAACGAAGGCGTGTTTGCAAATGCCCCAGGTGAGTCTCTTAACCCTGGTCCTGGCTTCCAGATGGCAGATGGTGAAATGCTGTCCCAGAGAGAGGTCCTGGCAGTGGTGTCCTGGGGCAGGGAGTCAGCTGTCTGTCTCAGGGAAAGCAGAGCTGCTCCAGTAAATCTCTGTTTAATCGAGAGCCAAAAACCCACCTGAGGGCTTCCACCAATTCTTCCTGGCCCCTCAAATAACTGAGCTCCTCTTTTTCTACATGATTCTGTCTGGATTTTATTGTTAAGATGGCCCCCTGCCCCTTAGCTGGTCTAGTTTTTTGAGGGAAAGTTAATCGTTTATCTTCCAAACAAAACAAATAACCTTGGTTCCTAATTTCCCTGTGTCAAAGCAGGGCCTTGATTTGCTGCCAGGGACTGGAGGAAAGGGGGTCAGAGGCCGGGGATTAGCTCTCTTGCAGGTCAAGTGACAGCCCCATCCAGTTCTACTCCCATCATTTTGAAATGATCAGAAAAAAAGTTTTTAAGAAGCCCAGTGTCTGCACTCCTTCGCTCCTTCGCCTGAGGGCAGGGCAGCCCAGGTGCGCTCCAGCTCAAGCAGGCCTGATGGGAGCCATGCTCGGGACCCCCTCATCTCCACAGCAGCCACGGATGGCCAATTCCAGGGTCTCGACTCAGATCACAGCCCTGAGGTTAGGAAACCCACTCTAAGCAGCGAGGCAGGGATACACTCCGATGACCACAGCTGACCATTCAGCTGAGGACTGAGAGGGCCAACCTCTGCACACTCCAATTCCACATCTCAGCCAACCTTGTACTGAAAAAAAAATTGTGAAACGTGTCTCTGCCAAACAGAGAGGGGTTCTTCTGGCCATCGCTTCCTAGCCGTGCAGTGTGACATTTAACTGGCATTTACACTGAGGAATCTAGAGGTGATCCAGGCAGTGGGGTGTGCAAGGCTCTATGCAAATACTATGCCTTTTTCTATGAGGGACCCTAGGGCTTTGGTATCCAAGTGGGGGTGGGGTGGGGTCCTAGAACCAACCCTAGTGGATATGAGAGGCAGCTGTGTGTTTTTTTTTTAAATGTTAAGTTTCAAGATGATCTTTCACTATAACCTTCGTTTTACAGATGAGGAAATTGAAGCTTGGGACATTTGAGGGCTGGCGGAGGTTGGAGGGCACTGAATGTTAATGCTAACCAACTGCGGTGTATACCAGTTCCTTTCAGTAGGCAAAACTATTCCACATTTTACACCTTGGGTTTGCATTTTATTCTCCTTGGTATTTCTTTGCAGAAATTCAAATTCAGCACCTTACACATTAATGGAAATGTAATTAACTTCCAATGTGTATATTATATATACCAAGGTCAGAGCTCTAAAAACTAAGGATTTTTATTACTTGGTGTGCAGTTGGGAGTTTCTCCAAGAGAATCCCTCATCTCTTTTCTGAAAACTCTTATTTTTGAAAGGAATAAAAAAATACAATCCTGCCTAACCCTAACCCAAAAGATCAAACACATCTGAGGAATTCACACAGCCACATTCCCATCTCAGTGATGGCCCAGGGCAGCTGGGCTTCAACAGGCATGGCACCGAGAGTCACCGGCCAGTACTGAGAGAACATGTAGTGTGATGTCAAGTTTAGGTTGTCGCAGGCACTCTGGCTCAGGGCACTCTATGTGGCCGACACTCCTCGTCCCTGTGAGCCTTGGATGAGGGCCAGGTCAGTGGGTGGCAATGGCTGGCATGGGGGAGGAGCCTCCTCCTACCTTCCTGGGGACCTTGACAAAGGCTCCACGCAGCTGGACTCTGGTTGTGTGGCCTTGGCAGTTTCTCCCACCTCTCCCACCCAGTGCCACCCCAGCATGGTTGTGGGGGTCAAACCAGATGGAGCCAGAGCAGCACTTGGTACATGGCCAAGGGCTGGTCATGGCCAGATGCTGGACTGAAGGGCTCTTGCTACAGTGACAGCCACCACCTCTCTTTCAGACCCGTCATCAGAGCGGGAGGCAAGCCGGGCCTTTCAGAGAGATCCGTCTGACATGGCACTGGGCCACACAACAGCCACTACAGACTCCAACCTGAGACTGCGCCCGCTAGACCACACGGCCTCCTCTTCTGGGCCCCTGGTCTTCCTTCCTGTGTGTGTTCTCATTTCAGTAGTGGGCAGGGTGGGAAGGGTCCTGGGTCCTGTATGTATTCACTTGGCTTCACACAAAGCTTTGTCTCCGGAACGTCATAAGAGCCAGTTGTGTTATGTTCCTGTGGGGGGCCAAGAGCCCAGGGCAGCAGAGCTGGGCCACTGGTACTCACCGTCTCAGCTTCTCCTCACCACTTCTCAGAGGCTGAGCCCAGCTGGGAGCAACCCGGTCAGAGTGGCACAGGGGCCAAGGCTGGGGCCTGAGCTGGAGGGAGCCCTACTGCCACAAGGGCTGTCCCCCACACCATGTGGTGCCTTGCAGGGTGCCTGTCCCAGACCTCAGGGATCGAGCATTTCTCAGGCCCTGTGAGGTGCATGCGGCTAGGCCCTGAGCCTCAGGGAGGCCAGAGCATCTGCCTGTAGCAGCTCCCAAGGCAGCTGGACTCCACTTTGCACCGCTGTGTAGACAGCACAGGTGCCCACAGCAAAGCTGAAGGACAAGCAGTCCTGGAAATGGATCCGTCTCAGAAGAAAATTCCAATGTGGAAGCAAAATGGCAGTCCCAGCCTTTCCTCAGCCGAGGGTGAGGCTTGGAGTTGAGCAGAATCTCTAGTTTGAGGTACCACAGAACATGCTCCTGGAATCCCTGATGACTTCTCATACTTTGAAAGGTCCCTGGAGAGCTCCAGCATATTCCCTGGCCTCCCCAAAGCCAGCAGAGGGGAGGATGAGTCAGAAGGCGGTGAGGAGGCTCAGAGCCCAATTGCTGCCCTCAAGTTGCATATCAAGCTCAACCCTACAGGTGGGAGACTGACCCGGTCTATCCACTGCTCACACTGATGCATTTTCTTCCTTTGGTTAATAAACATTCATGGTGGCCTTGAGCAGCTAACCAGTTCCCCTCTTTCGGCCGCGCCACACTTACTTTCCTGATTCTCCACTCTGATAGGGGCTCTGCTGGGATTCTGCACACCTAGAGGTGTTATCAGGCCAGACCCACCTCCGCCTGAGCTTCCATGACATACATGGACAGGGATTAGCTGGTTCCATCCCTAACAAAGGGGGGATTAGCCACCTCTTGCTTCACCCCATTCCTTCCTCTTATTCTTCCTTGATAACACACAAGAGCTATCACCAAATCTCCATTTTGTGTTGAGTTAACATGTGTGTGAAGTGAGCACACAGGTCCTCAGGGTGCCGCTCAGGGCATCCCGGCAGGAGCCCACCTGCCCTCTGCTCCGGCCTGCCTTCCACGACCTTGGAGACACTGGGATTACAGGCGTACGCCACCACAACCACACCTGGCTTTTTTTTTTTTTTTTTAAATACCTTCTATTAAAAGGATTTCACTGCTGGGCTGGGGTGCAGCTCCTTGGTGGGGCACCTACCTAGCATGCCTGAGGCCCCAGGTTCTTTCCCTGGTACTCCAAATAAACAAAGAGGACTACTTCAAGTAAAATGGTAAATAACCATTTAGAACTTAAAAATACCCCACACCTGACCAGAGAGAAAACAGGAGGCCTCTCTGCAGGCCACGCTGCCTAAGGCACACCCAGGCAGGCTGTGGATCTAGGCTCAGGGCCTGAGGTGGCCAGATCATCCACCCTGCGTCCTGCAGGCAGAGCACCCACTGGTCCCAGGCTGCCAGCCTCAGGCCCAGTGTCCTACTTGCCAGTTGCAGGCTTGAAGCAGATCATACAAATCCATGGGACAGATGCCTACGACATGGTTTTCTTTCTTTTTTTGGACCCTGAAATGACTTGTTTCTTGGGCCAGGATCTAGCCTTGACACGGCTCATTTGACAAATACTCATTTTTTAAACAATATCATTTTTGTGGAAGGGAAAGATCAGCGAGGAAATGGTCCTTTGTCTCTTTGGCTTTAACACTGCGTTGGAGAGCCTGCCAGGCCTTGGAAACCCTCAGCCTCGCTGTGGTGTGTGTGTGTGGGGCAGCCATCTGCCCGCCCACCAGCAGCCTCAGGGCCTGGGGGTAAACCCCCCTGCACGGGGTGGTCTGAGGACCACAGAGGCAGCCCAGCAGCAGTGACTCGGGAGAGGCCAGGGGCAGCACCCGCAGGTTCTCTGGCAAGTGACTTCATTTCTTGATAACTCAGGGAAAATGGGAGTCCTAACAGTCCTGGCCTCAGGAAGAGGAAGACAGGAGTTCACCCAAACCCACTGCCTGGAGCAGCGCTGGATGCAGTGAGCAGACTATAGACCTGTGATGGAACCCAGGAGTGGCCGGCTCCTCCTGTCCGTCATGCCCACTGCGTGCTGTCCACTCAGCCACCTGGCTCTCCTGTTTCCACATCCCTCCCAAGGGCAACAGTGCCCTTCCCAGTGGGGACCTCAGCAGCCCTCCTGAGAGCAGCCCGGGGAGAGGGACCTGCTGGCCTCTTCCCCACCACCTGGGCCGCTGGCTCCCAGCACGAGTGGGTGGGACCCACGCGATCCCCAGAGGAGGAATATTTTTAGTCTCAGACATGACTTCATCTGTCCCTAAAAAGATGAGCAAAAGGAGCACAAACCAACTCTTGGCCTCTGCCACCTAAGCTGTCAGGGAGGACAGAAATGGCTCCTCTTTCCTCCACGGGCTGCTGCCCTCCCACCAGCCTGGGCAGGGCCAGCACAGCAGCCAAGACACAGAGCATCCAGCTGCGGAACCCAGGATGCGCCCAGGCACCTCCTGCCCTCACACTGCTGGTGGCAGAGCCAGGGAGGCGGTGGCAGAGACCTTTCCTGACTGAGCGGCGCTGTTCTTGTCTCACACCCTCCTGCCTCGTCCACAAAACCATCCACAAAACCACTTTTAAATGTGCATTTCTTTAATTTTTAAAAATATACACAGGAGAAGCCATGTGTTTTACATAGGAATACACACATCACAAAGCATTTCTTATAATTTTCCAAAACTCTTATTATATCAGTCTAAAATTTATAAATTAAATATATCAGAATTTTTTTAAGTTAAATGAAATCCCTGAAACTACTAGATATACTCAACTTTTTCCAAAATCAAATGAACAGAGAATGAGTATGGTGTGTGTTAAGTTGGGTTTATTGCCTATAATCTATAAGATGCAACTTTATCGTGCCTTGCAAACAGGATACATCTCTTAGAAAACAGATCAGAATCGTCCATACGTAGAGCTCTATATGATAGATTACAGTGCAACACTATTCTCGTTACATAATTATAGAAATACTATAGAACCCAAGAGCACAGGGTAAGCAAAGAAATACAATCCTGAGCCATCTGAACAAACGATTTGATGAATCCTTTTAGTGTAAATTTAGAAAGCACAAAGGAGGGGACCCCACGCACACACGCGGTCATGAGCAAAGCATACCCAGCGCCTACCCGCCGGCGCCAGCATCTGGATGGAGCCCACAGCCACTCGCTCCCACCCACCTCCAGCCCCTTCTGGCCCTAGTACATTCACTCCCACCGGGTCCCAAAGAGAAGGTCAGGCCCCAGTGGCCCCAGTAGCTGTGCTGGAGGAGGCTGGCTGCTGTTCAGGAAGCCCATGCACATCCTCACCCAGTGCGGAGGAGCCCGGGCTGCCAGCCAGCTCCGGCAGCCCTGCCTCTTTGGAAGTAAAGGAAGCATGTGCCCACTACAGTTCACAACTGCAGCTTAAAAACACTTTAAAAACCAAATTTTTTTTTCTTATTACATCTTAAAGTAAAACCAATAGTGGAAAATTCACCCTAAAACTAACTGCCTCATCTGCTATTAAAATACATCTGTCACTCTATTTTTGGTATCTACTCAACTACAGTCCCACGGAGTCCATGAAGCGTGAGCTCCACCTGGCCAGGCTGCCAGCACCATGCCCCCAGCCCTGTGTGACGCCACAACAGGCAGCGCACACGCAATCGAGTGACGAAAGGTATTTGGTTTTGTCTTCACCTTGCCCATCCTAGCGATGAAGCTGCCCAAACCAGGTCTCCACACCTTCCCTGAAGATGACCTAGTCTGCTGACAAAGCTGACTGGCCAGAGGCCATACTTGTGCTCTCCTGAGCAGCCCATCCAGTGCAGATGACCAGGAGCTCTTGGCCTCTGCAGTTTCTATCACCCCCAGGTGAGACGGTGGAGGTGGAGATGACTCAGCGTGAGACCACCGAGCTGGATCTGCGCCACCTGTGGGACGAGCTGGAGAGAGGATCCCGCCTACATGACCTGGAGTGCTGCTAGGGTCTGTCCAGTCTGCTGCCACAGAGACTGAGACAAGACCTGTTCACAGCCTTCCTATTTTCAGTTAAGTGCTCACACATTCACAAATACACACCTATGAATATGAGGTGGCTCTTCAGCATTTTAAAATAAAGAGGCACCAATACCCGTTAATTTATGTATTAGAAGTCTCATATGACCACCCAGGAAACAGAAATGACATCTGTGATGATCACACACAGAGGAAAGGATGGAGACCAACCTGAGCCCTGTGCAGAGTGTCCTGGACAGAGGCTCCGGCTGGCCAATCTGACTCTCTGGTGGGCTTCTGCCAGTTGAGCACAGTCCAAGGACTGCTCCCCGCTGGCCAGTGGAAAAGGCTCTGAGAAAACCTTGGGAACCATTCTGGAACTGCTCTCCGCCTCCACCACCAGTGTGGCTGTGAACACCCCGCCTTTCGGCCAGCGGAGGCAGGAGACGGGTGGCATCCTCTGCCCGGGGAGGTGCTGGGACGGCGCTGCTGGAGCAGGACAGGTGCTGTACCGCAGCCTCTTTGGTTAAGGTCTGGCCTCTTCCGAGTCCCTCTCCTGCACACGGAGTCGCCAAGGAGGTTTGAGTCTACACTTAAATAAGGTCAGGAGACAGTTTTTGTGTGAACTGTCAGATGGAGAGAGCTGCAGACCAGGCCTTGCCCCACCCAAGGCGGTGGACTCAGGCCCAGCCTCGGGAAACCGTCAAGTCAAATGCTCATTAACACACGTCCTTTTCAGTTTCACGGGCTGCACAGGAAGCTGTCACAGGACTCCCTGCACTACGAGGGGACGAGGCAGAGCTCTGGCCTTTGTCCTTACAAGTGGCCCAAGCAAACTGTGTAAAGAGGCTCACTGCCCAGAACTTGCCACCAGCCTCTAGGACACATGTCACCCAAACCCCATGTGAAGCCCAAGTGCTGTGTAGGAGTCGAAGGTGGAAAGAGGAGAATAAGTTGCAAATAAAGTAAATTTCTGGCCTAGAGAGAAAACCATCACAAAAGAAGACACCTCAGAATGTGACTCATAGGAGAGTCTCCTGGCCAAGCAGTGACACCGGCAGCACCCGCTCTCTCCACCTCCTTGCCCCAGAGACAGGCTGCTGGCTGCTGCAGCAGAGTGGCTGTGAAGAGCCTTCCCAAGTGACACGAAACCGCTTCAGGCCACGCGGCCGGGCACCAGTGACTCCTGGCTGACCTACCCAGCCATGGTGGCCACACAGGCTCTCCTGCAGTCTCCTCCACAGACAGACCCCAGTGCTCCCAGTCCAAATCTGCTGTCTCCCTCCCTCATCAGTCCATGCGCAGCTGATGACACAAAGCACCACGTCCTGCTCTGCTTCTGTGGTCATCTTTCTGTATTTTCTCGTAAGTACTCCTGCGTTGGTATCCAGCTCCGTGGGATGAAGCCAAGTTGGCCAACTCCTGGTGACCTCCACACGACACTCTTCTCATGAGGGAATTCTTCTCCATGCAGTTCCTCTACAGAGAAGGATCTTGTACGTGGCTCTCCCTGATAGTGCTGTACATGAAGACACCTCACAAGAGAAGTGGTCACCATCTACATCCACCTGAACCACAGAGTCACAGTCAACAAGATGCTGCACCTGCAGGGGAGAGGCCCGACAGAATGCTAATCCACCTGCTGGATGGAGGTGGAGAAGGACCACAGGGAGGGGCAGGCAGCTGCCGCATCAGCACTGGAACAGGCTGCTTCCCTTCCAGGGATGGTGTGCAGAGCTGTCCTGCACACGCCCACACAGCACCACGCTAGCTGGCTGTCGGGAACAGCAGGTGACAGGCGGCCAGTCCTGAGGGCAGACTCCAAAGGACAGGGCCACCCAGACCAAGAGCACACTTCTAACTTCAGAATTTCATTTTATTGAACACATTTTTAAAACAAGCACCTCTTAGCAATTAAAGTTTAAAAAAAATAATAATATTCCTCCCACTCTGTTCTAGCAGAAGACTTCTCATACTAGCCTGCTGAATTCATGCCGGTATTTTACACAGGCACCCGCTGGGGCCAAAAGGAGCCCCGTGGCAGTGTGCCACCTCCTCAGCCAGAGCTGGAGCAGAGGGAAACATGGGAGGGCAAGCGTGGACTGTTGTCACAGCCGCTCTCCACTTCAGCAAAAAAAAAAAAAAAAAAAAAAAGGCAAAGATAGGTTTACAACCACAATTCAATCTGCCAACCTTTCTCTGAAGAATTCCAACTAATCATGTATATATAACAGGAAAGAAAGCTTTTTCACAAACATTCTCAAGGCTGACAATTATCAAGAAAATGACAAAGTAAAAGCAGGAGGACATTAAACGCGTGGCGGAGAGGGTGGTTTCTGTTTCTGCTTAGAAGTAAAAAATCACCATATAATGAAGTACAAAACCTGCACTGAATGTGACTGCTGGTGTAGGTGCTGATCAAAAACGCAGACCAGAGCCAAGAAGCCAGGGGTGGCCCTCGATGGCTGGCCACAGGCTCCCTCGAGTGCAGCACTGGGCAGTTTCCAGAGCACTCTCTGCATGACACGGGAGTCCTTGGTCAGCCGACTCAACGGACACTCTCTTCTGAATGACCCACAATTCAGTTTCACTTACAAATTGCAAACTAAATTCATTTCTTCAGAAAAATATCTGTTTGGCATCTCCTGGACTTTGTTCCATTGGGCAATATGGACATTTTAATCTGAAAACAAGACAGAAAAGACGGAGTCAAGGAGCAGGAACGGTACGAGCACTTCATTCCACCTCCTGCAGAAAATGCCGGGCGATCATGGACGCCCTGCAGGTGTGCTACCAGCCTAGGAGACCCAGCCACCCATGCCACCCACTCTGGCTTGCAGGGTGACCTCGTTCTCCCTTCCTGTAAGTGCTGAGCTTTGAAGGGTCACAACGTCAACCAGACCTTAACCCCCAAGGTCTTCTTCAGTGGCAAAGGGTGAAAATTGTTTTAAACAAGGTAGTCCTCTAAAGTTGCTTCTGGGGTTTCAGAGTGGTTCAGTTTCTCTTCTCCGAAGGTCTTTAGGCTCCTGTCATGATTTCCACATGTGTGGACCGCAAGCCCAGAGCCACGCTCACTAGAAGCTGTCTGCAGGCCTCGCAGTGGCCCAGGGACTCAGACAGTCTGTGCCAAGACCAACTAGCTGGCAGGCTTCTGGCTGCCACAGACGCCACCCTGGGGGTTGCTGGGCAGCCTGGGAGGGGCACGAGCAGCTCTCCAGCCAGGGCCTCCCATGAAAGAAGGACCTCACCATCAAGGGTCTAATTGACACAAAGAAAGAAAATACAGCTGCTTGGGCAGTCAAGAGGCCCCTGAGACTGGCTTCTGGCTCTGTTTTTTAATTGCATCCACATTTCCAATTGTGAGGACTTACACATCACACATGGAGAAGGGAACTCACTGTGACACTCTATAAAAAGTCACCAGGAGGAACCTGGCCAGACACCTGTTTCCACAGGGTGGAGTACACAGGTCTAACCAAAAGAGGGCTCTATCAATAGGACATAAAAAATCTCTAAGACAACGGGCTAGGGAGAGGGGCACAGCGCTCAACCACAGCAGCAGACACCATGAAAAGGGGCTGGGGAGATGCACCACCCACCCAAAAATCTCAGGATTGAGGATTGTGCCTAGAAATCTACTCGCCAAATCCACAAATGCACCAAACAGACTGACAAAAGATAAAACCTACCCATTCTGCCAAACAGTGAAAAAATCTATTCCTAAATCTAGCTCCACTCATGTACCCTAGTTCTTCTCATCATCCCAAGTTCCAAGAGACTTCCACAGTCACATCCAACGCTGGACACTTACTTGCTACCATTAAACATCTTGTTCAGGGCGTCTCTTGATATAATGTGACCACAGACCAACTTCATGGGTGGATTGCTATCTGTTGTTTGCTGACGAAGGATGGGACAGGCAAATATAGAGTGATACCAGCACTTTTTACCAAGGTCCACTTCAATCTGCTCAAAGAGAAAGAAACCAGAGCGAGTTACGGTTCAGAAAGCCATCTACGCATCAACATATCACTGAGCAGCAGGCACTCCCAGGCACTCCGTCAGACCCCTGTTCTTGGGGGAACCTCCTCCAGTAGGGGACTCAGGCAGGCAGTCTGAGGAGTCAGTCTAGACTGTCTACAGCGCTCCACCTCTGAGCACATCCCCATCCTAAACACTCTTGAAAACCCATCAGGAGAAGGAGCACAGCCCCCAGAAGCCCAGCACACTTAGCCAGATGATAAAATGCAAAGTGGTGACTTTTAAGGACAATCTACACACAGCTCACTTCTCACTTCAGACCAAGTTTCCCACGTTTTGTAATGGTCCAGAGAAACTGCCTGAAACAGGACGTTAAGGAAGATTCAAATGAACATTCTGTGACTGCACATTAACCCATGACATCTGTGCTTTTCTCTCTGTTGAAATTAAACAAATCATAAAAACTGAAATCGGCTAGGTGTGGTGGCAGTCGTGTAACCCCAGCGACTTGGGAGGCTGAGGCAGAAGGATTCCAAGTTCAAGTCTTGCCTCAGCAACTTAGTGAGAGCCCGACTCAAAAACTAAAAAGGGTTGGGGATGCGGCTCTGTGGTAGAGCACCCCTGGGTTCCATGCCAGGTACTGGAAAAAGAAACAAAAACAGCTGCGGAGCATTGAGCAAAGCAACAGGCCCCTGATGGAGGCTGCAGAGCCCTGCAAGGCTGCCCGGAGAAGGCTGCCCACGGAACGGGACCCACAGGCCCCCCTCCAGTGCCTATCCAGCAATGGGCAGCCTATGGTCCCAGTCCAGGCTGCTCTGCTGTGTGGGCACTGGCCTAGCTGGGAGGCTGCAGCATGAGCAGGCTCAGCCCTGCCCTCTCGCTCTCTGAGCATAGGGACTGGAAGGCGTCTGTGCTTCTAATCACAAGCCTTTAAGCAGCTGGGCAACCGACGGGCCAGTGGGCTGGCTGGAGAACAGGCCCCGCAGAAAGGCACGATGCACATTTTAGGTCCCTGCAGGGTCTGGACACCACCAGGAAAGAAGGACAAGTTCAGGCCAGCCTTGATGCCAACTGTCGAGGAAGCAGCCGCGATACCCTAGGCCTATGCTGAAGCTGCACCACAGCTGCCCACCCCCTCCTCTGCATACGCTGGGTCTGGGGCTGAGGTGGCTGGACAGAGGCACGGCCTGGTGTGCATGCTGCTGGTCATTCTGTCGTGGTCATCATCTCCATTTTTCATTTACACTTTATTTTCCACAGTGCTGGGGAGCAAACCTAGGGCCTCGCACACGCTCGTCGAGGGCTCTGCCACTGACCTACAGCCCCATAGACATTTTTTAAAAAACCAACTGTCAGATGGCCACAGCAGTATTTCCCAGTTGAAAGGCAAAATGGACATTTAACACCCCTGGAACCCGCAGCCTCTCCAGGAGGGCAGTCAGCGTCCACAAGTGGCACTCACCGGGAGCTCGTCCTTCTGGTTCCACACGCCAGTGCACTGCCTCTGCTCGATCACCGCCTTGATGTTGATCAGCGCTGGCAGCGCCACACAGCCCGCTGAGAAGCTGGGGGTGGGGAGGAACGTCAGCTGCAGGTGCTGGGCTGGTCCTGGGAGACCCAGGCCCTGGCCACTGGACAGCACACAGAGCCTCCACCTGCCAGGGCCAAGCCCAGCCTCTCCCACTATAAGTATCTGCCTTTCTCCCACCTCCCGACTCACTGTGTGTCTCCCACAGCCACTGAGAACCAGCCCTGTCCAAGAACAGACCCCACCTCATCAACATGGGAGAAATGAAGCCTTACATTTACTATTTTAAAATTCTCATTTTCTGAAAGGGCCCCAGTTTTCTCAACGCCTAGAGAAACAAAGCTTCCGTCCATGAGAAGAGGAAGCAGCACTGGCACCCATGCTGAGGGAGGGTCAAGAAAGGTGGGAAGCGTCCAGTCAGAGAGGGCCAGTCGGGACAGGAACCCAGGGCCTCGCCCTCCAATTGCATATCTCGGCCCCTGCTTCAAGGGGGAGGGACGTCCACTTGGCCCCCCTGGCCTCTCCTGCTCTCTCCCTCCCACGCGCCCAGGACACTATCATTCACTTCCCTGGAAAAGCTTCCTAGAGGAAGCTCAGCCAATTGGGAGCCTTTACAGCACACTCTTGGTCACAGCAAGTTGTCACGCTTGCCAAGACCCAACTGAAGAGGCTCTGCTGAACAGTCACTAGTGGCACTTTTTCTTCCGAGGCTCCTCCTAGACCTGGAGCCCCTTCCGGGTGGAAGCACCACTTCTCAGACCTCAGAGTCCCTTCTCAGGGCTGTTCCTAGTCATCCCAGGCTCCTCCCATGAAGAAGCCTGTCAACTTAGGACACTCCTGCGGCCACCGCAGCCCAGACTCCTGGGGTGCAGGCATTGACACACCTTCCTCGCATGCCAACCCAGTCAACTTCCTGTGTACACCCCACTTTAGCACCTGCTCAGGGGACCCCAACGGACAGCAGCACCACAGGCACCAGGGCCAGAGACACTACCCGTCTCCTGTGCCAGCATGGAGCCCAGGGAATGGAAGGCAGTGGCACGGTACCCACCCTGCACCCAGGGGCTGGCACATACCAGGGGCTCAAACCCTGTTGAATTAAGTGAACAGAGAGCTAAAGTGTTATTAAAACAGGTCCTTCAACTTTGGTTTCAGGATGCTTTTACAGGCTTAAATATGAAGGATCTCAAAGAGGTCTGGTTTTTGTGGGTAATATCTATGATTTAATGTATTAGAATTTAAAACAAATGAAAGGAACTTATTCACTTAACAACTTCACCCTACCTCATGATGAGTAACGCCCTCACGACAACACCTGCTCCTCCAGCCAGAGGGTGTGCTGAGCAGACAGCTCCGCTCTCCCACTCCCGCTCTGCAGCCTGCCCCCAGAAGGAGGCCGCCTGCTGCAGGAAGTCCCAATATACAGCACCTGACTGCCTTTCCAGATACCTGGCTACTCTTCAGCACAATACGAAAGCTCAGCAGGCTTCTCAGGGTGGCTGCAAAGTGGAATCTGGAAGCTGACCGCTGAGGGTTCTGTACTCTGCTGCCCTGAAATCTACTGGTCCTTCACACTCTGAATGACGCTCCTACCCGTGCGTGATTTTCCTAACATCATGCTAATTACGACCTTCCCAATGCCTCGCTCCATTACATAATGTCCCCCAAACTCTTGTTAACACCGCCTGCACCCCAACAGCCTCTGTGCTGGGGAGCTGGCGAGCTCACGCCAAGGGCACTAGTATTGGAGACTTTCTAATCCAGGTTCAAGTCCTCAACTTTACATCATGGCAAAGACACTGTTCGCTGTTATCTTGGACACACAGGCCTCCTGCACTCACTTGGAGAGTGTAAGGAACAGTGGTTGTCAGTGATTCTTTTTATCTTTTAAAGGATTCTTTTTTCCTTTTTCTGTTGTTGTTGTTGTTATTTTCATGCGGTGCTGGGGATCAAACCCAGTGCCAGGCAAGAGAGGTACCGTGAGCCACAGCCCTGGCCCTGGTGGTTAGTGGTTCTCTAACTCCAACTGCACACAGGGAGGCAGGAAGCTCAAGTGCTTTATGCCACCTTCCCAGTCCACCACCCAGAACGCTGAGCAGATGTGCGCTCAAAGTCGGGACTGAGTCAGACGGACCACCCTTAACGTGTGGTCAAGTGCACTAAGTATGGCCAGCATCTCTCAGCCTGCGCGTGGCTAGACTGTCCCCAGGTAACCCACCACTGTTTCTGCATGATCTGCACAAACCTCAGCAGTGGAAGAGACCCCCGAGGTTCCCACTCCATTCTGGAAACTGCTGCCTAAAGCCACACCCTTGTCGAATGGCTCAGCCCCTCGGCTCCAGTCACCACGACAAGCCGAAGGGGCTGCCTGAGGGGGCAGCACATAGCTCCTCCATACCTGACACTGAGAGGGGACTCCACAGAGAGCCCCAGGAGGGCGCAGGCGTCCCGTGTGAAGATGTCACAGATGTCGGCCCACTGATTGGCGTCAAGCAGGTGCACGTACGGCGAGTTCTCGATCCCTTGTCTCAGGTACACGAGGCTACCCATCAACACCTGAATGTCTAAACGAGAAAGTGCTGCAGTCTGCAGGTGCGGGCAACAGGCTGAGGCCAGGGCAGCCACTCAGCTGACCCCGCCTGAAACAACGTGAGGCCCACGGCTGGGCCTGGCTGCAGAGCCCAACCTGCAGCCCAACTCCTGCTCCCACACAGGCATGGCATAATATCACTCCCCAAGAGTGACTTCGATGTTGTAAAGGAGCCGCCACATGTCCTGGGCGCAGGCAGCCGGAACTCCCAAGCCACACACAGGGAGCAATGGCTGCCGCCGGCTCTGTACATGGGCAGTGAGGCCAGGTGAGGTGGGCAGGAGGAGGGCGAGCACACAGCTGCTACTCCCTGTCTCCCCAGGCTGAGGGATCCCCAGCTTCCCCTGCCTCCCAGAGTTGCCCCTGCAGATGGTGGAATGTTCAGTCTCACTGGAGTCAGCTGAAGCTTTTTTGAAGAAGTAACTCTCATCTGCAATCCTTTTAGTTTATTAGCAAATGCATACACTAGACCTCATGGAGACCACCCCTTCTGCTCCAGTGGTGACAACAGACCTGTTCCAAACACGGAGAACACCTGGCTCGAGACTCACCTTTTTGATGATTTAGGGCAAATGGCTGAAAATTTTTAGCATACTGCAATGCTTCTCGCTGATTTGTGGTTCCACCCATCAACAAGCTAATGAAGTAGAGTCGGTGCAGCTTGAACTCCAGGGAGCTGTTCTGCGCTATGAGCATTTCTCGGTTTGACACTGCCCACCTGAGGAAAGAGCAGAGTCGAGATGGTCAGGAACATGGGGAGCTGCCACCAAGCTGCCTGAAAGCTAGCGTGGCGTGTCTGGCTGCCCCCTGGTGGAAGGCTGGGGCAGCACCACCAGCACCACCAGCACCAAAGGCCAGAGGAGGAGGTTAAGCTGGATGACCACAGCAAGTTTCCCACCAGGACAAGGACCTGGACAAGGACATCACAGAGGCATCTGGGTGTGAGCAGGGCCACGCCCTGAGCAGGGATCCCCAGGAAATCCTCCCTCCATGCCTGGATCCTCTTTCCCTGTGAAGATGGCCTGCTGACAGACCAAGGAACCACTTATTCCTGAACTTCCACTTTCATTAGCTAAAGAAGGTGCCACTCACCCTGGGACTAACAGCAGCAGGCAGGCATTTGTCCCCAGGGTCCTTCCCACACCTTAGGAACTAACACTACACAGATAGTGTGATCTTCCCATGCCCAAGAGACCTGTGCAGACCTGGTGTCACCAAGGGAAAGAAGAGTACCCAGTTCTGAGCTGTCCAATGGGGCAACCTACACCTCAAGGCACAAACAGCCAAATAACCCCTGCACTGGGACCACCATGACAGCAGGGCGGCCACACGCAGAGAAGGACCCCAGCCGCTTGTTCACAGTCTGACTCCCCAAACACACCCGAGGATAGAAGCAGCTGGTATCATATTCTTTGATTTGATTTTCATCTGGACAAATACTCCCCACCTGACCCAATTCATCAGTCAATGCAATCTGAACTGAGTATGAATCAAAATCTGTGTTAACTCCACAAAACACCAGAGATCAATGTTCCAAATTCTTCACGGTCAGCGGACAGGACTCACACTGGACCACCCAGACCACCCTTCCCAAGGTCTGCACAGGCACTTCTCAGTGACCTGCAGGTGACCCACATCACAAAGCTTCTGGCTTCAAAGTCAAACTGGGTTTTAAGCATTAACGGTCTGGATCTTGGAAGTACCTATTCACGTACCACTAGGATCCTGGGCACCAACCTGGCCCTCCCAGCAGCTGTCCTCTGTGAACACTAGCCCCCAGCACGAGCACCAGTGTGCTGGCTGGGGTGGCCTCCTTCCTGTCTGTCCCTGATGGGGACACCACCACATCCACATAAGGTCACTCAGCCAAAGCTCACTCCACACCCTCAACTCCTGCAAGCATGAACACCCTCTCCCCTCTCTCTGATCGGGGTCTACACGTGCAGGACTTTCTAGTCAAGCAAGGGAGCTGGACAGCAACTATGAATTAAGAATGAAAGCCACCAGAAAAAAGGCAAAGCCCATAAATAAGCAGTTCACAAAATAACCTCATTTTCACAGGAAAATGTTCATGATACCATGTTAAAGGAGGAAAAAGTAACTTTTAGCTAGCACCCCCACCCCCGCTGTGGTGTCAAGGATTGAACCCAGGGCCCTGCACATCCTAGGCACATGTCTATCCCAGAGTTGCACCCCCCACCCCTCTTTTTGTAAATTATTTAATTTGAGACAAGGTCTCCCAAAGTTGCTGAGACCGGCCCTGAACTTTTGATCCTCCTGCCTCAGCCTCCCTAGCCACTGGGATTACAGGTGTGCAGCACCATGCCTGGCTCTAGTTACCAGGAACTTTAGCAGTAGTTCCTTGGACAGTGGATTTCCAGCTTTATCATCAACTGCTGAGGTACAGCCTGACAGCCACATGCACTGTCAGCCCAGCATGGGGCCCACCCAGGACCATGGGTTCCTGAACAGTCTGTACTGGTGTCTCTACAATGAAATGTTACCTTTACATTTGAGAAAGTAGTACCTTGGTAAGCTCATGTCTAAGTAAGATTTCTTCACTAACAGTAATTACAGACTATTTTTCCTAAAAGTAATTCAAGCTTTTCAAGCTATAAACATGCAAATCTTTTTCGAAACTTACTGAGACATTTAGATAATGTAATTCCTAATTTACTATTTGAATTTGTTTATACTTTTCAAATTATGTCACCAACAAATAATCAGAATAAAGGGAATGTTAAATCCTCCCTCTGCTCTTCAAGAAATGTTTAGAAAACTAAATAGAAACCCATTTCAAAAACAACATCACAAAACCCAACACTCACACAACCAGGTCTACACCATATTCCCCAGTGCTGGGGAATAAACCCAGGGCCTCACTCCGACCACTGGGCAACACTGGACCACTGGCCACGTCCCCAGCCCCTGGCCTCTTGGTCAAGTCAGTCTACTCTGAAAGGCTTCTTCGTGTTACTTCTGAATACTTGTAAGACTGGGGTCTGCAAAGCAAAGGGACTTCTAAGCTTCTCCCTTCCTAGCAAAGTGTTCTTCCTAAGCTGATGATGCGATCCACTTTTACCTCTTTCTGGTCAGGGTCCTCCCAACCCCAGAATTGTACCCGTGGACTCATGTTGGGACTTCTTACCCTCAATTCCTGGGCCACAGTTGACTGGACAGTAGGCAGAGGCTGCGTCTCACAGCCACGCCCTGCGCTGCCTCTGGCCAGCTCATCCACCTGGCCCTGCTTTGCCCCTCCCATCGATGCCCTTTCACGTCCACTTCTGGAATCTGGTGCAGGTTCCAAGCAGCATTGTCACATACATTAGCTGCCTCCCCAGGTAGTACAACGCTGTCAACTCACACTGACACCCGAGCCAGCTGGGCCATCTGTCATTGGCAGTGACGCTCTAACATTCCTGCAGTGGTGTCTTCTCAACAGGGAAACTGACTTCGGCACTATGGCCTGAATGTCAGACTGGAATTTTGTCTTTTAAAAGTCTCCAGCCCAAAGTAGAAGTAAATGCTCCATTTAGGAAGGAGCAGCTCCCGCTCTGCGGGGCCTGGAGGGCCCTGAGGCAGGCTCCACACGCTCCCCAGCCGGTCGGGCCATGTCCTGCAGCACTGGCCGGTGTCACTTTCAGACCCAGGGGTACTCTACCACTGAGCTACACCTACAGCCCTCTGTAAGTCTGATTTTGAGACAAGGTCTCGCTCAGTTGCCTAGTCTGGCCTCAGACTAGAAATCCTTCTGCCTCAGCCTCCCAATTTGCTGCGATTACAGGTGAGGGCCATCACACTGGCTACTTTCTAATTACAGGGCTGTAAAATAAAACAAGGAAGAGCAGGTGACAGGAAGCCAAGCTCAGCCTTCAACACCTACAACATTGGTTATTGGCCCCTTTATTGAAAAGTCTGCTGGCACTGCTCCAGAAAAGCACCATAACTTCCTCAGATAATTCCTGTCAGTGACCAGTTCTTAAAGGAGCATCAAGAGGTACAGTAGTCGTGAACAGAGCTCCATGACCCAACGTCTGCACTCCCCATGGTCACTCTGTCCCAGGACACCTCCCCAGAAGGCTGGCCCAGAGTTCAGCACCCTGTGGGGGCTCAAACATCCTGTCACACAGCCTGAGCAAGGGGGGTCGTCAGAAGGGGTCCCACAGAGGGTGGAGCACCAAGGACCCAGGGAACCTCTCACACAGTTCAGACCAGCTGAGCACGTTCCTATTCTACATCCCTGTATTTCACTGGCTAAAAGAAAGAACTCTCCACAGATCTCTCTGACGTCTACCCCAGGTAAGACAAATACATCGAAACATGTCTAAAGTGCTTTCTAATTTAATTTTCTTACAGTTCTTTCAAAGTATCCAAAAGAAGGCAAATTCAGTAACTCACTCCAGGGCAGGTCTCAGAACTCTGACTTTTAAAGCTTCTAATATCCGATTTAACTCCACAAACGGTTCTTTCTGACTTGGGTCTACAGAAAGACCAGATTCCTGAAAAACAGAAAGAGCGTTTGTTAGCAGGAATCAGGATGAAAGCAGCATAGTGAGTATACTCCAGATCACAGATAGCTGACAGCTCCTGGGACAGGTGTCTCCATGGTGGAGACTAATGGTGGCTGTCACTCTGCCCACCGTGCTGCAAGGGGCACCTGTGGCTTCACAGCCGTGCTGCAAGGGGCACCTGTGGCTTCACAGGAAGGAGGCTGTGAGACAGCAGTGCTGGAGGAGTAGCTGCCACCCTCGAGGGCTGAGGACAACTGAGAAGCAGCTAGGTCACGAGGCCTGGGAGCTTCAGGGAAGGCGGAGCACATGCTGTGCACTCCTCACTGCCTCCCACTCTGCATAAGGAAAACAAACTTCATGTTTTTCTAAGCCACTGTTGTTCGGGTCTTTATTATTTGAAAATAAACTTAATCCTCAATGATATAATTTACTATAAGAAATTTATAGACACACAAACAAAATCCCAAAAGGTTCAGAGAAAGATTCGAGTTATCATTTATTTGAATTGTTTAAAATAGAAAAGGCTTAGATTATAGTTCAGTTTGAGGACTGGCTTTAAGTTACTCAGTCCTGTTGGCCCTTCATTTCTCTAAACAGAGGGAGACAACACATGGGGGCCTACCACAGTTCCCAGTCCCTCACCAAGACCCTGTCCCGCCCTGGGCAAGCTCCCTCTTTCTCCAGGCCTCGCCCCCCCGCCCCCCGCATCTGCAGACCTTGGCCCCCCATCTGCAGACCTCAGCCCCTCATCTGCAGACTTCCAACAACAGTCCCCACTTCCTGGGGCTCAGAGAGCAAGAAACGCAGGGCGGGGCCTGAGGAGCCCTCAACCCGGGCAGCGGCAGCTGTTGGGACTTGGGACTGCAGGGTACTGGTGAACCATCCCAAGAGCCAAGGCCCACCTCTAATAGAGAGAAAGGGCAAACATCATGCACTCGAAGTAAACTTTACTTTGGAATTTGTTTATAAACAATCATCCTTAAGCGGGGCCAGATGAGGAAATAAGCCATGCTTCTGTCCAGGCCACCTCTCTGCTGCACAATCTCCCTAGCTACAGAGGACTAGGGAAAGCAGTCTCTATTGATCCCTTGGCTCAGGGCCTGGGACCAGCGTTCTGGGCAAAGGGGGGGGAGAATGGAGGCAGTGAGTTTTAGGACTAAGATTGGCACCACTAAAAAAAAAAAAAAAAGATTTACCTGTAAAATGAGGTCCAGCCTCATTTTAAAATCTATCAACAGCCTGCAGAAGACTCAACCCCCACTCTGCAAACAGCACCACCCAGGGGCTCCCCCGTGGACACGCTGATACCTGGCAGAGCTCCTCGGCCACATCCAGCATCCCCTGCCGGAAGAAGTGCTCCACCATGACCTCATTGAGGAGCCGCTGGCTGTCGGCCTGCCAGCAGCCGTCGATCCCCACACTGCTGATGTCAGAATCGAAATTCTGGGAAAAGAAAAGGGGGTCGTGAGTCCTGACCAATTCACCCACCCACCAAAAATGGTCTCCGCTCCCCTCTAAAGTTTCCCAGTAAGTACCAATCCTAACTTATTAGACACTACCGCAGAAGGCACACTCGTCAGTCTCATGGGACTGCTAACAATTCACACCCCCACTGGCAAAGGCACGGGGAGAGGGGAGCTGGAGCTTCCGGGCTTGCCATGCAGGGTTGCACGCCCAGGTCTGAGCAGCACATTGGAGAGCCTGACAACAACACTAAGGCAGACTGGCGACTGTCAGGCACATACTCAGTGAACACAAAACGAAACTGACTCTGACACTATAACCCAGAACGACCATCAGGACTTGTGGCCTGAACCCAACCAGCTCAACCACTAATAAATCAAAGTTCTCCACCATTTTTCCTTTTTGGTTACCAGAGATTGAATCTAGGTGCACTCTACCACTGAGCCACAAGCCCAGCCCTTTTTATATTTTATTTTGAGCCAGGGTCTCACTAAGTTGCCCAGGCTGCATCCAGCTTGAGATCCTCCTGCTTCAGCCTCCTGAGTCATAGGAATCACAGAGGCACATCACAGTGCCTGGCTGCCACTTCAGAGCACTGAAGAACGATGACTGACATACCCAGGGCACAGCGTGAAACCGTGCACATACAAAGAGCCAAGAACATCTCCACACATACAACAGGAGGTGACCAACAGACACCAACACCAAAGTGACAGAGATGCTGGAGTCACCAGGACTTCAGTCCATTACAAAAATGGTTTAAGAATAATAAGGGCCACACTCTTGAGGCAAACGGAAGAACTAAAGATACAGTGAACAGAATAAAAACTCACTGGATAGATTCAAATAGAACAAAATCTCAGCGCAAAATGTCAGTGAAGGTCATTGGAAACCACCCAATCGGAACAGAAAACAAGATTTAAAAAAAAAAAAAATGAACACAGCCTCAACAACTGGTGGGAAAATACAAGAGCTAACAATCGTGTCATCACTGAGCCAAAGGAGAGGAGAAACGGTGCTGTGGAAAGGAGAGCTGGAGAAGAGCCCAAGTGCGCAGACCAAACCTCCCGATGAAGAGGCCCGAGAACTCCAGAGGACAGGTTCACAGAAATCCTACCCAGACACCTTTCATTCCACCTCTGAAACTTAAAGACTGAAAACCAAAACTCAACAGAACCTGCAAGCAGCTAGAGAAAGCAGCGAATGACTCCAGTGATCACAGACTTCTGCCACCACCACAGAAACCAGAGTCCATAAAGGAGAGAGACAACATCTTTCAGACTCCAGAAGAGCAGAGCAGTATCCCAGAGTTCTGCACCAGCGAGTGCGGCCTTTAGGAGTGAAGAGGACAGACAGGCACTCTCAGGGGAAGGAGAACCCGGCCTGTGGCGGGCAGCCTGGTTCTGCAAGAACTGCTCAAGTGCGTTGTGGGACAGAAGGACAGCGAGCTGAGCTCTCTGAAGGAGAAGCAAATCTACACCATGGTCTGAAAGTTGCCTTTGTCATAGGCACTACCCCCTGATAAGCCTCTAGAACTTGCTTTTTTAAAAAAGCATATAAATTCAATTAGACAAGATCTTTAGGTGTAAGTGAAATTACAATGCTCAAATACAGGCTGACCAGATGAGAACAGGTAGGAAGTAACTGGCAATGCCACCACAAACAGCCCACTGTTTATAATAGCCACAATGCAGAAGAGCGCTCCTCTCCAAAATTTAGCACATTTTTCTTCCCCCTAAAGAGCTCTCTACCCTGTTTTTAGAATCACTAAAATTACTGTCAGTCTGAATTTTTATTCTCTCTGATTACAGACATCTTTCTTGGCCTAATACCAAACCTAAACAACAGAAATACTACCAAGTACCTCTACACTGAAGCAGTGGTGTCCATATGTATACGGAACTGTTCCATAACACCTAGAAACACGGCTTGTGCAAGACGCTGGAGTCTCACTTCTGCTTATCAGACTCTGCCTGATGAGAGTTGACTGCACAACAGTTCATCAATACTCTAAGCAAGTTGGACTACCTTTGTTCTGATGACTAACACACTGCACATTCTGGCCCTCCTGATCATACTGCCCAGAGGGTAATGTGTGCTATTACGCGCTCTCATGCTTTACTCACAAAGAGGCAATCAATGAATACAGGACAGGCCTGGGTCTCTAAAGAGGGCAGAGCTGACCGTAAACTCAGGACTCTTCCCTCAGTGCTCCAGACGAGAACCCTCAAGACTAAGCTCCCTTGCTAACTTGTTAAACGGATTCAACCCAAACACAACCTACAGGTTTCCACTGCTCACTTTACAATTATTCCTCAGCCTCATCGGCCCCCAACAAACATGTCCAGTACTTTTTCCTCAGGAAAGAAAGCAACTTCAGAAGAATCCCTTCCTAAGACAGCTTTACACGGCAGCATGAACCAAGTCGGGACCTCGACAGCTCCTGTGACAGCATCTGCTCACATCAGACAAAAGAATCATCGTCTCAGACTGGGACTGTGGCTCAGTGGTAAAGTGCTCGCCTAGCATGTGCAAGGCCCTGGGTTCGATCCTCAGCACCACATATAAATAAATACAGTCATTGTGTCCAACTACAACTAAAAAATAGATATTAAAAAAAAACTGAAGCCAAGATCATTGGAAGCAGCCGAGAGCCCACAGCTCCCACTTCTGCTCCAAATGCAGGCTCCCAGAGTGGCGTCAGGCAGGCAACGCGTCCTGCACCGTTGCTAGGTGACCGGACTCATCTGCCAGGCTACCAAGGAAACCAGCAGCACCGCAGACCCGTCAGGAGGTGGCCGACGCTGAGAATACCTGCTGTTACTAGCATCTTCTGTTTTGTTATATTTTTTCCTTTCACATTTTTAAAACAAAGTCTGGCACAATATTCTTAAATGGTCAGGTTAAGACTCAAGTAAGAACCAAAAATTTAAAAAGCACACATCCAAGGGTGTGTCCCTCTGCAGAGGCTGTTATAGCTTGGGAAAAGAAATCCAGAACACACCACCCTGAGCTGAGGCACAGGAGGCCCAGGCCGCTCCACTAAAACATCGCCAGGAAAGGAGGCCCACAACCTAGCCACAACTCAAACATGTCCAGATCAGTCCAACCTGAAGGACTGGCTTTCACTGGTTACCATCAAGAACCAATCCACTTCTCAAGTATGTTTTGTAAAGTCACAATTACTGAACAGCCAGGGTACTGTGGTAAGACCCAGCATTTGTTTTAAATCCTAAGTACCAACCCTCTAATGCATTCGTTTTAAATCCTAAGTAAGTACCAACCCTCTGCTTGTTACTTTTTCTCAAACTTCCCATCCACCCCAGAGAACGCCGTGGTGGGTACGTGGACCTAACAATGTGTGACTGGTACATCAACAAGGAACCGTCTTCCATCTTGCCTGGTGACGAGAAGGACCTGCGAAGACTCTTAGCAGAGCAAGACCTGGGTAAAACCCTGGTCTCCACAGATGTAGACAACAGCTACTTCACACCCAACCAACGGAAGGTCAGCATCCAGGAGCCAAAAAACAAACACCAGCTCCTAATGGTGACCAAGGCAAATCACCCATGGGGAAAATGGAAAGAGCATGAGATTCACAGAAGGGGCAATGCCAAGGGGATCTGCAAAGAGACTCTCAGCCACCGAGATGGATGGTCAGAGGACAAGCACAACTAGACAACACCCCTTCATTTCACCTGTCGGATTCTAGAAGAGGGGCTTCCAGCCCGGCAGCATCAGGGGTAAATGAGAAGTGAGAAAACAGGAACTGCCGGCGTCTGGGCCGACTGGAAACCCTACAGGAGAAATGCAGCAAAACCCAGTGGAGCCCAGATGAGGCCCTGGTCCCCGATGAAACAGCTCATCCTCGGTGATTCCCAGAGAACTCCTCTAGAAGCTCAGCCACCTTCTTAGATAGTCTACATTCTCCTCTACTTTTTCAAAGAGATGGTAGATTCACACTGATAAGCACTGGCTTCATAAACAGAGCACAGCAATGTACCAAACCATTCGGAGCTTTTAAGATCCCCAGCACCACAAAAAAACAATGTAAAGGATTTTTAAAAATCCTTAAAATGCTCCTTCATCCTGCCTGTGCCCAGAGCCCTGCGCAGCACCAGGCCCGCACCCGTCACAGCCTGGCATCTGCTGCCTTTTACTCCTGGCCTGGTCGTCTCCCCACTGGCTCTGTATCTGAACTGACCAGGGAAGTCCATTTGAGAGACTATTTGTTACCTCCCCCAAGCAACATCCCTCTTAGGCTAGAGGCAGAGGAGGAGAGCTGCGTGAAGGTCCTCAGGGCACCCAGCTCTTCACAGCTTGTTCTCTAGCTCTGTGACCTGGGCAGGGGACTCAACCCAAGTCTCAGTTTTCACACTTTCATCCAGGGACAATCACCCCCACCTTACAGAATGCTGAAGATTAAGTTGAACGATGTACACGACACCCTCTCTCCCTGTCTCCCACCCAGCTGTAGGATCTGAGAGCTGGGCCTGGCCCTCAAATTTTCTGATGCTATGCTTAATTTAAGAGTCTCAATTAGAAACATAAAGACTTACTAAAGCGTTTAATAACAGAAGTATAACAACAAACTCACTAACTTCAAGTCATTTAAATATAACTGCAGACTATCAGTGGGCGTGGCCCAATGGGTGCAAGGTCTTCCCTTCGCCCAAGTGGAACAGTGCCCAGCCAGGCATAGCCCCACACCTTCAGCAGCAGGCAAAGTGGGCCTTGGGGTCCAGGGGGACTCTCTGACCTGCAGTCCAACTGGCTGCAGAGCCGCGGCTCTCCCCCAGGCCTGCTCCACACTTAAAACAGACCCCCATCGCCCACATCATGCACCTGTGTCTGGAGCAAGAGTAAGAAGCAAACTCCCAGAACCAAACCTGGCGCCATCAACACAGTGTGACCTGGGGCAGGATGGCTTTCAGATGGAAAGGGCACACCACTCTGTCTGACACAGAGGCTCAGGCCAG